CAGGCCCGAGGGGCGGGGCCAGGCTGGGGGCGGGGTGTGCGGGCCGGGGCGGCGAGAGGTCGAGCTGGGCTCGGCTCCCGGGGCTGGGGCCAGGACAGATGGGCACCCCGCAGGAGGAGTACCAGCCAGGGAAGGCCCTTTCAGAGGCAGAGCTCAAGAATGCCATCAGCATCCACCACGCCCTAGCCACCCGCGCCCACGACTACAGCAAGAGGCCCCATGTCTTCTACCTGCGCACGGCCGACTGGCGGGTCTTCCTCTTCCAGGCCCCGTGAGTGTCTTCTGCCCCCAGACCTCCTCACCCGGTCCCCTATCTTGGCCCCCTCCCTCGTCCCTGGACCGCCACACCCTGAGCCAGGATTGATATCTGTGGACAGGAACCCTGGGCCCAGGTCCCAAGGGACTCTGTCTCCACAGGAGTCTGGAGCAGATGCAGTCCTGGATCACCCGCATCAATGTGGTGGCCGCCATGTTCTCTGCGCCACCCTTCCCAGCTGCTGTCAGTTCCCAGAAGAAGTTCAGCCGCCCCCTCCTGCCCAGCGCTGCCACCCGCCTCTCCCAGGTAGTCCCAGTGGGATGGAGTGGGGCAGCCCAGGCCCTGACTCACTGCCCTCAAGGCTGCAGTGTGTGATTATGTAGGTGTTCCCTGCGCGGGGCCCTGGCCACGGGGGAGAGTGAAGGCTGAAGCCAACCCCCATCCCCACTCGCCCGGCAGTGAACGCAGACATGGTGCTTCCGTTCAAAGGAAGGGGCGCCTTTTTAAACATCTGCACAAAAGCACTATAGTGACCCTGACTGTCCTCGCCCTGGCCGCCAGGAGGAGCAGGTGCGGACCCACGAGGCCAAGCTAAAGGCCATGGCAAGTGAGCTGCGGGAACACCGGGCTGCCCAACCGGGCAAAAAGGCCCGGGGCAAGGAGGCTGAAGAGCAGCGGCAGAAGGAGGCCTACCTGGAGTTTGAGGTGCGCCCCCCTGCCTCCGCACCTGTGTCTCCACACACAGGCTGACTATGGTTGGTTAAAGACACAGACCCCTAAGAGTGGAACCAGTTGGGTGACCTTGGGAAGTTACTGCATCCCTCTGAGCCTCCTCTTCTGTGGGGCAGGGGTAACATGCCACACCCACTAGGGTCAGGAGTGAGGTGCCTGTCGAGCGCTGCGTCCCCAACTCTAGCAAACGCTAGAGGAGAGCCCAGAGGTTCTCCACCTGCCAGAGGATCATCTCACAGCCTCTGAAGGCTTTGGGGATTCAGAGATGGGCAGGGAGCTGTGGCGTCCTTTCCTGATCCAGAAGGGGTGAGATGGGCAGAGGGTGGTGAGCAGGCTCTCACAGCCACCTCTCTGCCCCAGAAATCCCGCTACGGCACCTACGCAGCACTGCTCCGGCTCAAGTTGAAGGCCGGTAGTGAAGAGCTGGATGCGGTGGAGGCAGCCCTAGCCCAGGCTGGGAACACGGAGGACGGATTCCCCGCTTCTCACTCCGGTCCCCCCCTGCAGCCCAACCCCTCCAGCCAGCCCCAGGCTCAGCATCAAGGCTCAGAGCCTCGGGCAGGGGCAGGCAGTGGGAGGAGGAAGCCATGAGATCCCGATGGCGTGTGTGGGGGTGCCTCAGGCACCTGCATGATGACATGGCTCTGTCTGAGCCCGGGCCGGCCTCGGGCCACCCACGAGGGCCTCCAGGCCCAGGGCCCGACCGCGCCGGACGCGGTGTCCGGGGTAGGGCAGGGCTGGGGCACAGGCCTCAGGAGCCTAGGCTGAGGGCCCCTCTGAGACCCCCTTTTTGTGATAATGTTTTGCACTTTTTCGTACAGGGCGGGCGGGGGTGGGAAGGCCCAGTACCCCTGAACTTTTGATGCTTTTTTGGGGAGAGGCTGACAACATTTCCAATTTCTGCTGAGCCCACCCCCACCCTGACACCAGCAGTCCCTCTCCATCCTGGGGCCTGGTTCGCAGAGGCCGGGAGCTGGGGCTGAGCTGGTTTCCCTCCTCCCTCCCAGGGGCTCACCCTCCCTTCCCACGGTGGGAGAAGGGCGGCCCTGTTCACGGGCTGGGGCAGCACGGTCTTGCTTTCCCTCTGGGTGGGCCCTGCCCTTTGTACAGCCTCCACCCCCATTAAAACCGCTCTGGACTTGCTGGCTGGGCCTCCTCCTTCTCTCTAGTGCCTGGCTTGGGCCCAGGGTCGGTGGCTGGTTCCAGCAACAGGAGTCATACTGGGGGCGGCCATCGACTGGGGAGGAGCCCTTCCCTTCCTATGAGAATCCTTTATTTGCCCCTGAATGGGTGTGGGGTGTTAAATAAGATTTGGAATCGGCAGGGATGCTGTACAGGGGGTTCAGGAAGGGGACTGGAGGTGGGTGGCAGGTCAGTGCACCTGAGGCTGGGGGTGCCCATGGCAAAGCCCTCCTGGTGGCTCAGGGGGTGGGCCCAGCTTCTCTGCCTCCTGCTCGACTGACTGGCTCCCATAGGCACTGTCTTCCTTCACCTCTGCTGGGGCACATGGGGAGAAGAACGGGCTAGTTAGGGCCTCAGGCCTCCCACCCACCAGGCCCAGACCACCTTCCAGACAGGCCCCCTTACCTGTGCTGGGTTGCTTGTCTCGGGTCTCTGGGCCTCTCAGCAGCCTCACTCCCTCCTCTAGGCCCATGTCAGACAGGGCGTCCAGCAGACCCGCCAAGTCCCCACCGGCCAGCTGAGGAGGAGGAGACGTGAGGTCTGAATTATAGTTAGGATGTGGGGTGGGAGCCCTGGGGTCGGAGACTGGGGAAAGGAAGTGGAGGGCTGGGCAGGGAGTGGGGCACCCACCTCGTAACTGCGCAGGAGGCTGCCGCTGGGTGAGGCCGTCTTCCGGTACGTGTCCACCAGGCTGCGCAGCCCCAGCCGCTCTGCCAGCTCTGCCCAGCTGCCCTGGGCTTCTGGCCCATCCAGCAGCTGCTCCAGGTTCTGCAGGGCTGTATCCCCGAGCGAAAGCCCTGGCCCTGGGGACACACACGTAGACATGTCAGTCACCCTGGGCTGGGCGGGGCCATGGCCACGGGGACACTGCCTTTCTGCCATAAAGTCTGGCAGACAAGGTCCCTGGGGGCAAAAGATGGATGATGGGGCAGAGAAAGGAGACTCCTCTGAGGTCTTGAAGGAGCAGAGACCTCTGGGAGAGGGCCCGGGGCTGGGAACACATGCTGAGTGCTCACCTGCAGGGCTGGGTGGGCTCAGGGGGGGCTCCATGGTGTTCTGAGCAGCATTGAGCAGCAAGGCCTTCACCTGAGGGGACAGCCTTAGACTTACCACCTTCCCCCCAGTCCCGTCAGGTAGCCCCAAGTTCAGGTACCCCAGCCCCCATACCCAAGCCCAGGGGCTGCCCTGTTCCTCGGTACTTATCACCCAGGCCGGCCTCACCTTGGTGCTGCGAGTGAGGTCAAGAGGTGTGTGGCCTCGGAAGCTGCTTCGAGTGTCCCTCTCAGGCCCTTCAGAATCTGAGTCACTACCAGAGGTGGGGGGCGAGGGCAGAGGGCACAGGGGCTCCTCGTTCTCTGCGTGTATGTCAGCACCTGCGGGAGGAAGGCAGTCATCAGGATGCATGACGGGGGCCCCCATTAAGGACTGTTAAGTAGGGAGACTTGGGAGGCACCCATCTTCCTCCCCGTGCTCTGTTGATATGCCCCTAAGGGTGAGACTGACCAGCTTTTAGAAGGAGGCGGGTGAGGGTTGGGGATCCCAGTCCAGCTGCCAGATGCAGGGGTGTGTTTCCCGCAAAGGTGCGGGCATTCACGTTGGCATGGAGCTGTGGGTGCAAGGGAGTGGCTGACATAGCACAGTGCCACTGGCTGCCCCCCACCATCTCTACCACCCCTGGCCCCTCGGCACCCAGCCCCACCCTTTCCACAGCCCTCAGTCTCACCTTGGTGACCCGGTGGGTGACTAACCCCAGCTCCTCCATCTCTGTGGCCAGGTGCAGGGCAGTCCGGCCTCCTTGCCGCTCAGCAGCCTCCACTGCAGCCCCGCTGTCCACCAGCAGGTCCAGGCACTCAGGACTCCGGGCGTGGACCGCCAGGTGTACTGGGTACAATCCTAGAGGTGCCAGACACTCAGCCTGCAGCCGCAACCCCCACAGGGCTCCAAGACTAGCTCTGACCAACCCACTCTGACACCTCATGTCCACTTGATGTACTCACCACATCCCCCTCCCCGCTTCTGGCCCCAAACCTCTCCCACCGCTCCCCAGATGAGATGAAGAACTCACCCTCAAAATCAGGCATGTGCAATAGCTGAGGCACAGTGGGCACCCCACTGTGCAGGAGTGCACGCAGCAGGTCGGGGGCACCAGCACCTGCCCGCAGTGCCAGGTGCAGGGCCGAGTCTCCATGACGGTCCAGCAGGGCCGGGTCTGCACCCACTTGCAGCAGGAAGCTCACCACCCTGGCCTGCCCAGTGATCACTGCCAGGTGCAGAGGTGTCTGGGGGAGAAGGCAGGGTGAGCCAGCTGTCTCAGAACCACCTGCCTCGCAGCCTGCCCTCTCACCCCAGGTGCCCCCTCACCTGGTGCAGGTGGTTGGTGAGGTTGACAACACCGAGGTGCTGGGCATGGTAGATGACGTGGACTATCTGCTCGATGACGCTGGTCTGCCCATGTATGATGGCCAGGTGCAGCGGCCTGTGGCAGGGGGGGAAACTCAGGCCAAGCCCAGCCACTCAGAGCTTCCTCTGCCCCAAGTGCCCATGCGTCCAGTCTCCCTGGCTGGGACCTGCCAAGCCCAGAACACCTCCAAGAGCATCACTGTACCTGAACCTGGTCCTCCTCAGCACCTTGGAGGTATAAGTACTATTATTACTTCCCTCTCCAGACAAAAATGAAGTTTGGGGAGCCTGAGCGTCCACAGAACTAGTAAACAGCAAGGGCGGTCTAGAAGCCCGATCTGCCCAACTCCACAGCCCCGGCTCCTCATAGGTCTCCTTCCTGCCCCCTATCCCAGGACCTTCCAACCCTGGTCCAGTCCTGGGAAGCCCAGGCACCCTCCCGCTCTCGCCGGCCTACGTGTCTCCGTTCTCGTCCTGCGCGGTCAGCAGGTGGCGCTGTCCCGCCAGCAGCGTGCGCGCGTCCGCCGTGACGCCGTAGTCGAGCAAGGCTCTAGCGCTGCGCTGTGCCAGGCCAAACAGGCGCACGTTGTACTCCCGGGCTGGGGGCGACAAGGGCAACAAGGGGCGTGGGTACGTGCTAGGCCCCTACCCACGCCATCCCGATCACCCGACTGCAGAGGCCATACCTCGCTGCAGCATCTCCGGAGCCTGCGGTTCGCACTGCGGGCCCGTGGGGGCAGTGCTCGACTCCACTGCTTCCTCCCCAGTATCCACGCCGGGCGCCGTGGCGGCCATCTGCGCCCCGCCCCCGCCTCCCGGGTAGCAGCCCATTGGGGCCGCACCGGACTGGTAGGGGCTGTAGGCCAAGGAGGAGGGGAAAAAGCCGAGGCTGCCACCTGTGCGGACAGGAAGGGCTGCGGAGGGGGTGTAGTACCCAGGGCTCGCCCAGAGTCCTTTCCCCACAACTTTCTTCCGCTTTACCCCTCCCTCCTTTGCTCCCCTCCCGCCACCACACCCCCTTCCCTCCTCCAGCTCCTCCATAACCCCCAGCCGAGCCCCCAGAGCCTCCACCCATGTGGGAGCCACCTCCGAAGGGCTGGGAGAAGGTAGGCAGGGCCTTCCTCCGCTTCCTCTGTACCTCCTCCTTGTCTGGGGACAGGGGGAAATGGGATGTCAAAACCCCCATTCATGGGCCCTGCCTCAGGGGTCCTTCCCCCCAGGTCCCTCTGCTGGCTCTTAGGAAGTGCCTCTGGGACCACCCCATTCCTGACTTAGTTCATGGGCCCCCTGATCCGGGACCCACCCCGCCCCCATACTAAAGCCCAAACCCACCTTCCACTAGAGGGTAGTAGGTGAACTGTTTGGAGTCAGAGACATCGCCCCCACGCTTGCGTTTCAGCTGCAGGAACACGGTCACAGGCCGCTCGATCTTCATCTTGTGATAGGGGGGTGTCCGGAACACAATGGCGTACTGGGAGGAGGGCGATGCAGGCTGTCAGTAAGGCCTTTGCCCAATTCAGCCCCATTCCCAGGCACGCCCTGGCCCCTGGGTACCTGTTTATGAACATCTGTGGGAGAGAAGTCCCCGAAGGCCTGCCACCCATTCTCGTCATCCTCATAGAACCGAACCTCAATGTCATCTACAGGAAAAATGGAAGCTGGGCCACAACTTCTGGGGAATCCCTGGAGCTGCCCTGGCTCTCAACATCACACCCAGTGTCCCTAGCTCCCAGCCAGGGCTCCAGCCTCACCTTTCTGCACCTTGTCACAAAGCAGGTAAACTTCGTCTCCACCCCGCACAGAGCCTGCTGTCTTGTCCATTCTAGAGATCTTCAGGTTTGAGGCCCCCGGAGACTCTATGGGGGTGGGCCACGGATCAGTTGAGATGACATGATTGCCATGGCCACATTATGGAACCAGGTGCTTTGTTTTTATTATCTCCCTAACCCCAAAGGCGCAGGAGCGACTACTCTCCTCATTTCCCAAAGATAGAAGCAATATTCAGAGCAGGAAATGACTTGCTTAGGATCACTCAGTTGATATGTGGCAGGGCCAGGCTCAAGCCCAGGCCTGTCTCACTCCACAGCATGAGGTTGCCCCTCGCGCTCCCTCTGGCACCCAGGCCTGCCTCGCCAGGGTAGGGCTACTCACTGCTGTCATGGATGGGCTGGGAGATAACGGGCTTCAGGGGCAGGGAGAAGGAGCCGTCGCTTGCTCGCAGGAAGGCAGTGAAGCGCAGCCGCACGATGCTCAGATCCATCACCTTCTTCAGCTCCTTGGCCTCCTGCTCTAGCTCCCGCCGCTCAGCCTCTGGGCAGCAGATACATGTGTGACCCCTGGGCTGCTCCCCCTGCCCTGCTCCTTCCAAAGCATCTCCCATAACGTCCCCTGGTCCCCATACCCGTAAGGCCCTGGGGCCTGGAGCGGAGGCGCTGCCTCTGGAGTTTTTGGATCATAATCTCCATCATATTCTTCTTGGTCACATGTAGGACGCCCAGGTTGTTGAATCTGGGGAAGAGGAAGAGTCAGAGGCCCATTCGGTTCTTTCTCCCAGAGGCTCTCTCCCCATTGTCAGGGCCCACCTTAGCCTCACTTCCTCAAGGAAGCTGTTCTCGTTCTCCCTTAGGCCCTTGGGTGTTGGGGCCAACCAAAGTTTCTCCCCTTGCTCAGCTGCTAAGCTCACAGAGGACTGGCAGGCGATGAGGGGTCATAACGGTGGGGGCCCGGGGCAGGGGCACCTACTGGGCAGTCATGTCCTTGGGCCCCACAGACACGGCACAGACCCCCAGCTCCGAGCACTGCTTGCCCACCAGGCTGTGGGCATGAGCACGAGGTGGGTCGCTGTGGGTTACCAGGTCCACCTCGATCTTGGCTGGTCCCTCGTAGTTACAGATCTGGGAGGGGCAGGGGCTGTCAGTAATGCTCATGGACGCTCCCCCCAGCAGCCCACTCTCTAGCACCACCGTGGCTCACCTTGACAGTGGGGTAGGTCTTGCGGCCTTTCTCGCTGGAGGCACCTGGCAGTCCTCCATGGGAGGGGCCTTCACAGCCATACCGAAATCGGAAGCCTCGCTGAAGGTCCAAGGATAGAGTGACATTGTGACCAGAAAAGACCACCACGGTAAGCCACACCCCTGGGCAGCAGGGGCCGCACTGACCAGGTAGCGTCTGCCCTGAACCACTGTGATGGGCAGCAGCCCACTCTCCAGTCCCCGACAGCCTCCTCAGCACTGCCCCCATGGCTACCCCAGCTGTCCCCAGAGCTGAAGCCCCCCACTCCATCCCTTTGGCTCACTCACCTGTTTAGGCTGTTCCACGATGACCAGGTAGGGGCCATCAGCTGGGGACAGAAGGGCCTTGCTGAGCAAGGATCTCCCAGCCCACTCTCCAGCCAGAGGACACATGCCCTCCCTCTAGCACACCAGACCAGAGGGGACTCAGGGCAGCACTCACCTGTCTCTGGGGCGGGCTCCTTGGGCTCCACAATGGAGGGGTTGAATTTGAAGTCATAGTCGATGATGCCATCCAGACCCTGGTTTGGAGCCAGACAAGGGTGACTGCTGGCTTCTGACCCATCTCTAGAGCCCCCCTCCCCATCGCTAAGCCCTCATATGTCATTCCCCCTTCCTCCCAGGCCTGTAAGTTCGCTACATTTGAAAAGAGAATTTGCAGCCTGACGGACAGGCTGACAGGTGAACTGAGGTAACGACGGGCATACAGGTGTAAGGGAGAGGGGGTGTTCAGACAACCACAGACGAGGGGCAACTGGCCGGCTTCAGGCCCGGGCAGCGTGACTCACTGGGTCGTAGCAGCTCTCCATGGCTCTGGGCTAGGCCCGGCTCTGTCTGGCGGCTTGGCCAGGTCCTGCTTTCCAGAGTTTCAGACGCCCGTCTAAGGGGAGAAGGGGACGAACAGATCAGGACTGGAGTCGGGGGGTCCAGTTTTGGGGGGGTCCGGTCTCCTCCAGCCGCCGGTCCGGGTGTGGCGGGGGGGGCCCGGGGGG